ATAATTCTTTAACAATTAGGAAGAATAATATCAGAAACGCTTCATTCATTAAGTTTATTATATATGTACTTTACGTATGTATGCATAAAGCATAATATCAACAAAACTTTGTCACCATTTGCCACTTTGGATTGCTAGTTTATTTTATTTTTTGACATTCACAATTAAGAAATGTGACTATTTGTGTCCTTTTATATGGCTTAGATTTGCTGATTTACAAAGGTTTCTAATAATTCTGAATAATCTACCGATTTTCTCATTTCAAGTCTGGATTTAATTTGCTATTATACGAGAGAAACTGGGACTTTAGCAACAATGCACGACTATTTGAAGTATTTATGATGTCATGATGTTTTTGCTAGTTGTTTCTAGGAGGTGTGGTTTCAGATGAAAGTTTATTTTGACAATAACGCAGGAAATGACAAGAAGATGACAGACATTGGATGATTTACTGCTATTTACTGCCAATAGCTGTCATGTTGCTGTATCCTGATTTATCCAATGGTTTTGCCGACTCTATCTGACTCTCCTATAGCAAAACAAGATAATAAAATTAATGAAGCCATCGATTAGCAAACGAATGGCAAAAATTCAATCAGCAAAACAATCGAATCGTCATTGCGCATACAGCGTTGACAGAGCATTGTTTGAAGCAATTTCTTATTTAAATCAGCCTAGACAAAGTGTTCGTGATTCATTTGATATTCAATTTTAGTCTGGTCGAGGATTTCAATATTTGGCCCCTAATAAAAAGTCTTTTTCTTAGATGTCACGAGGATAAAGAGATATTGCAAGTATTTGATCGAACTCGCGTACAATCGCTCATTTAATCCTCTTGTTAAGCATAATAATAATTTAACTACGGAGTTTTAGTGGAAAAACGAGGGAAAAGTTTGCTTTTGTTAATATTTCGAACGCTATCTGTAACTCATTATCAAGACATGTCTAGAAAAATGAGAAATTTGTCACAGGATTTTTTTTCAAGATTTTACAAGATTTTGTCAAGCATCTTTTACTTTTTGAACGCAAAATTAGCAGGGTCTGTGTATAAAAACTAAAATTAAACAAATCGCGTTCGTCGTAGGGATGCATTCATATTTTTTATAACAATTTAGTGGCTGCCTAGTTCAAACACTACAAACGACCTTACAGCAAACCTTTCAGTCGCATTATGAAGCCTGACGATGTCACCGTAAAACACTGCTGAAACACCAAAAATATCTCAAATAGGTAAATTATAGTGCTTCCCACAATATAATCGCAAAGGTTTCATTGTACCTGGCTCCATTTCCTGTCTGCATTTCAACAAATGTGCCTATCGAGCGTCTTTCCTTGGCAGTAAACTTTATGGGCTAACCTCAACACTGATTATTGTCTCTCGCTCCGTGCACGTGACACTTATCAGAGATAATTATTAATATTATTGCATATTACAACAGGTTTTTTTATAATTTTCGCAAGACGCAATGGTACAAAGTTGAAAATGAACAACAAAAATATACTCAAGATCATAAAGCAAAGGGCATATTTGATCAAGGTAACATAATGTATATAGGATTTTATAGCTCTACTAATAATAATCATCGCAAGCCATTTACAAATTGTCAATGTAATCGGCTAATTTAACCCGATAATAGTTTCAACAGGAATATCCCACTGTTTGACATTTGGAGATCTTTTATTGTAATTCTGCTGACACACAGATGCATTAACACGTACTCAGTTATACATAGGTTGTAGTTTGCAATTACTTGTTGATGGACACCAACGATCAGAGAATAATTAGCAGCATTAATAACTACGTAATGTATTTGCGTCCCAGCCCAAAGTCAAGAGTGCTGAAAGAAACAAACTATGCAAAATTAAGTAACTAATTGGTATACATGTCAAATTTATTACAATCCATTCATGTGTGGGGCAAGGGGGAGATTGCATAGAATTACAGAAAATGAGTTTGGACGTTGTCTCATCTCGCATTTATTTTTACACGATGCACACAACAAAGCTTGATTTTGATTGAGCCAATAAGTCAGCTCCAATCACTTTATTCAAATACGTAAGTGGACGTCAACATTGTTTTACCAACAGCACCAGTTGTTATTATTATTGAGTAATTCCTCTGTGATGTTCCTCTTGTGTGTGCGAGTGGTTGGTGTTTATCTTAACGTATTTATTGGACCCAAGCACTACGAATAACACTGACAAACCTGCTTTGAGTGAAAACAGTAATGATCGACTAACAATCAAGAGTACACACTTTTATTTTATTTTCTTAATTACATTTCCTACAATGACTGGCCGAACGACTCATTGGTTTTTCGACATCGATCAAGTTGAGAACGACGCAATTTTTGATGCAAATAGTAAAATGCCTCTAATTGTCACGAGCATGTATACGTTTGGTGGTGTGGCACAGTTTTGTAACATCAAAAAAACAAAATATTCCATTTCAAGTAATATGAGCATCTACGATAAGCATGCATTAATAAATATTCACACAAGTACTATGCAGACATACATACGTACGTACTTACAACTCGTATGTAATTCTGCATGTGCAACGCAAGTAATTGAAGGTTTTGGACTTCAAAAGAATGATCAATTGTCAAGATTTTGGGGTACTTGAACAAAATAATAAACTTCATTGTCAGATATCTCACATATCTTATCAAATTCCACAATCATACGTAATAAGATCATCACAAAGTTGTTAAAATTGAAGAAAACTAGGGAATCGCCAATAGGTGTCTGTCTGACACATGGCACATTTCTCAACCCATCATATGCATACACATGTGTACACATATAAGCACATCAATTATATAACAAGTTGATCTACGTCTAGTGCCATCATTTATTACCAGTTGATACATATTTGGATTTTTGTATCGCATTAATCATATTAATTTGTCTTCACAATCATAGTGATCAGAGTGAGTTGTATTTGAATGCCTATTTTTCACATTTGCCCTCAAGACTGAGGAGTTGTGCGTAGAAATAATTATCATCAGACTGTCTGATGGACAGGGCACAGGACGACATCCACTTTACTAAATAACGTAATGCTGGTCTTATTAGATCTGATTGTCAAAGGTGGTGGCAACAGATGCATAATTTAAGATATTTCCCATACAAACATACATTTTCAATTTTTCAATTAATGTGGATATGTAGATACAGATAGGTTTCGTCAGTGTTTCATATTTTGATTGTCGTTTTAATAATGCGACGACGCCAAAATTGTAAAACATCCTACAATGATTGCCAGCATGTACGTAAAGTGTTGTTTGTACGTAGGATGCAGTTGGAAATTGGCTTGACAGGAGAAAAAAGGTAATGATAGTTGGAAAATGTGTGAAGGAAGTCCCACAGAAATTATGTAAATATATTAAGCAGTTGCAGTTATCTAGTCAGTAATTAGTTAGTCAGGCGGATTCTAGACTCGACTCTAGTGGACGCTTAAAAAGTTGCCACGTTGATAGATATTCATGTGAAAAGGAAAAGTGTGCCAAGTGAATATTAACCAGTCGTCACTATAATGGTCACAAGTGGTCATCACATGCATACAACTTTAGCAGTGGATGAGTGGACGCAGTTTATGTATGTACATGGATGTTGCAAATCGTGGTAGTGGCGACTGTCCACTGTCACCTCCTCGCATTACATACGCATTGTGGCAGAATACTTTAATTAATGCTAGATAAAAAACATGATTTGAAACTCATTAGTAGATGACCATTACGTAATCGTCTTTTGTGGCCCTTCGGTTTTACAAATCATCATAACCATTCTAGAGACCGGCTTTTCTCTTTGATGCAGGTCATTCCAGCTACATATGCGTACATCGAACTATGCATTTGCACGAGAATGTTGGTGAATGAAGGTATCACTTTTACTTATGCTAATTTAATTAGCAGTGTTGTGTCATGCAGTTTACTCATCCTCTGAACATTATGCATACATTGTATGTATAACTAACGGTATATGTGTAGCTCTCAGGAAACCCCTTTCCCTTTCAGATTTCCGAGAAATAGCTGCCAATGTTGATGGATTCATGATGAGACAATAATGAAGCGCACATACAACATGAGTAGTAATAATTAGCGTACATTAGACATACAAATTTGTCATTATTTATTTACATTGCATTGTAGGTCATTGGTTAGTCCATTCGTCGATGGTTACCGACATACGTTGAGAGTATAACTTCTTTATTATGATAAACAAGTCAGTACCGTTGATGTTAAATATTTTACTAGAATAGAGGGTATTTTTTGTTGAGTATGCATCTGCTTGCTGCGTACACAGTTTTACTTTTACCTGTCTCCTCCAAAGTAAACTATATATTTAAAAGGTAGAGGATTTATCTTGTAGTTGCAAAAATAGCTTGAACCTTCTTCTTGACAAAATCCACCTGCTATTGAGTAGTTTGAAAGCTGCATAGCATCCCATGCAACTATGCGAGTGAAATGAACAGGCTACACCACCAGATAAGGTGTGTAGGTGGGGAGCCTTACTTACATCCATGCAATAAATAAGCAAGCACAGGCAGAGATAATAAACCAACAATCAAAACTCTCGTTCCCTTCTTTCTTCTAGAGTTGGGTATTACAGGATCGCTGAATTATTAGAATTGATGGATTGTTGCCTCTTTTTAGCACACAGGTTGCACTAACTCCACTGCTTTGCCCCCATCTAATAAAGCAACTGCTTCTGCAGCTACCTTGCTTTGTGTGTCTGTGTGTGTGTGCATATCATGGTTGGCATGAAATAATATTGAATTGAAGCAACTGCAATGCTACATGCCAGCGAGATAACTAATGTGTAAAGGCCCTCACTTAAAGCGAGTAAGTACCGTCAATTCAGATTTTAAACTTGTCTTGATTCGTGTATTGTTAGCTGCATGGTGGGGATGCGATGGGATGCAATGTACGTGTAAAGCTAATAATGAGGAGAGAAGAAAGTAGAACTTGGGGAACTTGGTTGGTCTAGAAATCTGATGAGAATTCAAACATTCAGGATTTGGTGTCAGTCAAGAAACCACCACGCACGATTATCGTCGTTAGAAGCGTTAAAATACGTTAAATAATTGTCAAAGTGAGGTTGCAACTTTTGTGAAGGAATCGCACAATACGTGGGAACTCCACGCCACACCACCAGCATTGCCATCACTGGCAGTGATCACTTCCATCCCACGTTACTCAGTGCTGCTTGGGGACATCACACCCCAATATTGGATTCAAGTTGATCATGAAAAAATTTTCATAAAGTGCAGATAATCATATTCCCCAAAAAACAACAAATAAAATCAACAAATAAAGTTGTTCAGAGCTTGGAGGATAGAATAAAGGGTTGAATTTGTGAAACTGGAGCGGTCGGGAAGCTTCTTCCCCGACGAACTGCATTCACAGGAAGAAAGTGAACTTCCATATTATACTTCCACTGCTTTTCAAAAGTGCCATGTTACACAAAAGCTGATATTTCAGTCAAAATCTCTGAATTTTCCCTTTCATATTCCCTTCTACTTCTACTTTTCTGTATAATTAATTATTGAATCAATTGTGTCTGTGTTGTTGAACTTATTGGACAAAATGCTCAAGTTACAAAGGTAATTCAATAATAAATTCAATTATTTCTCTTTTAAAGAACAACTAATCGTAACAATCGTAAAATGTCCACCTACCTATCTCAATCTAAGTATTTCATAAAAAGTAGTAAAAAAACATGCACTAGCGACTGCAGATATACATCGATACCTATATGTACATCCATTTATATATATAAATGCAGGGTTAGGATGGATCATCGGCAATATAAGAAGGATAATTTCGAATGCAACAATGCACACTTTCAACTCAGAAAAACGGCTCCTTATTCGCACTTGGTTTTTAAAAATCTATCACTTGCCAAAAAACTAGCTCAGCGATATCGGCCAATGGCTCAAGTATGTACATACGATTATTGGTACTACGAGAGGAATATAGCGTGTGTGCATGCACAGTGGTCACAAGATGCAGTAGTAATAAATGCCCCAAACCAGCAAAAAACCTTGAAGGTAAAGTGGTTCAAATTCTGATACAGAGTTGGCATACACACGAACACCTTTAGAGCTCAGGTATGAAAAAGTGAACCAGATTTTGCTGCAATTTTCGTTATAAATAATGCACTTCAAATGCACATCTCAGGTTGACTGACTGACTTGCAGAATCCCATTTAGTTCGTAAATATATTCATTCATACCGCAGATTCCTTGAGTTGCTTGTGATATAAAAACATTTTTATAATTATTTGAACCAAGTTTACGAGGTATCTGGCGAGCAGAATCAATGTTACGGACGTGACAATTAATGCAGTCATGTCAAAAAAAGTGACTCTGTTTTAGAATTAGGCTGCAGATTTATTTACCTTTCCTAACATGACCGGTTAGGGAGGCCGATTACTAAGACATGCATTCATATCGGCCCTGAACAATCTTAACGATAATTTTATGCCTGCCAAAAATCGGATAAGCTTAGGTACTTGTGTTAGCCGTGTTGAATTGCTTAGTCATGTCACCTTTTGCTCCAATTAGTCAATGATCAATAGAATTTTCAATATTCTGAAACTCTTTTGTTGATTCAACATACCTTAATGACATTAAAATCTGAAAATCTCTCATCACCATTGTGCTTCTTGTCCTTCACCAAAATTGATTGACTAAGGGAAACTTTTGTCTGGATTGAGAAAAAGTTCTTTCTTATTAAATAATATTTTCATTTTAGTTACTGCAATGCATATAAAAATGTAGAGAGCATATTTTATTATTTACGCAGTTTATTATTTGCGAGTTTTTGCCTATTACATAATAAAATAATTTTATGCCATTTGTCATTAAATGAGACTTGCTATTTTAAGTTTTGCAATATTGGCAAACTTACTGATTATACTAAATATGTAAAAAAAATTCCTCATTTTTAAAGTGACGAATAAAATGCATTAAAATGCGAATAAAAATAATTGGTCGGATTTTAATGAAATATGTCTTGCATGTCAAAATTACAATGAGATATGAGCATGCATACGTTTCGGTGTTACAATTTGAAAAAATTCGCATACGACTAATTGGACATTCTCGCACTCGTCAGGTCCATCATTCACTCTCCCAAAAATGTGTTGACGTGAAAGTCAAGTGACGAGAAGATGCACTAAATGCATTTCTACCATTCAATTAACACTTTATGACATGTCTGCCTGCTGCAGCAAATTTTATTGTCTTTTCCGTTTTCTCGAGACAACAGAATTGAAATATTATGCATTCATTCTCTCTGGCGCTTAGGATCGTCTAGGAAAAAATTTCAAAAGCTTCCCCCAAAAGCTTGTCATTATTAGACATGGTTTCGCTTACATATTAGTGTACAACATCATGTTTGAAGTTTGAATCAAATGAAAAGTCAACCAAACTTGCTTTGGTTTATTCATCTTCATTGTATTTCATCCAAACTGTGATTTGAGAATGCTATTAATTGTCTCGAAACAGAATAACTAATGTGACCCGAGTCAGACGCCAGACATTGTTGTCATTACGAATTTAGTGGAGATATGAATTATTATGAATTCGTTTCATATTTTGCGAAGAACAGATCCATGTATAACTCTTAAAAACAATTATTTGGCTGCAATATTCGCAAATGCTACCACCTTTATTTGGCGATGGCTTGCTAAGCATCTTCAATCACTAAACATTTTACTGTTCCTTATCATTAATAAGGTATCATCAGCGTGCCAAAACGCAAATCGACGTTGGCTTCTCCAAAATCAAAGCACGAAGAGTAAAAGATAGCTGTGCAGAGATTATCGCCAACTAATGAAGGAGATAACTACGCGTTATCAAGCGATAAATAAGATGAGAAGAAAGGTTATTTGGTTGAAGAGGACGACGACGACGACGACGATGACGAAGAAGATGATGAGATGAGATTGAGATGTGGTTTGGTTTGGTTTAGTTCGTGTTGTGTTGTTAAAAGAGAAAGTGCATCTGGCAGAAGGTAGGCATGCAGGTTGGGCTGGTAGTAATGTCAGTAGAATTAAATAAGCAAGGTGCTTATTGACTCTTCGCTGTAGTCAGTCAGCCACTAGGTTATTGCAATAACCTTTTAGCAAATTTCAACAAATTTGTAATTTTTCAAATTGAATTACACAATTTGTAAATTCTGATTATAAATTATTTTTAGCTTAATTATAACTTTTAGCTTAAAAAGCCACAATATAGATATTGATGGAAACTTGTTCTTGCTGATCAGTTTATATAGTTGTCGGTTGATCAGTTTAAAAATGTGACAGACATTAAACATTAAAAAACTGAGATGCATTTGCATGCATTCATGTAGTAGTCACTAATACTAGCAATTGGATTATGGTCTGGTTGATTTAAACGACAAAATCATCCACTGCTTTCTATGTCGAAGTTTGCACCAGATCATCTCGCTTAATATGCGACATGAGGAATTCTGACCTGGGAATTATGGGAACAATTTGGGTCGCACATAGAATTAAAGTTGTCGGAGATAAAATAAAATTTCATGTCGCTTGTGATGTTCTGTGGTTTCAGTTTTGTTCTATTCATTATTTTTATGCTATTATTCATATTGTTGTGGTGGAGGAGTATTTTATGAATGGCTGATTAACGGCTTGATTCGTGATGATTTGGATTTTAAAGTTATCAGTAGCTGACTCATTGAAATTTTTAAAAATGCATTGTGATCCAACAACGCGGTAACAAAACCGTGGCTGGCAAGGTGGTGGAAATTAAATATCGTTGCAGTTTTAATTTTGAGTTAACAATCTCACTCGCAATCAATTCATGCAACTCTACATACGACAAGAGAGCAGAGCAGCAGATGCTGAAAACACTTTCATCTCATGTTTTGCATTCACTGTTCTGAAAAAGATGGAATGCAATGCATCACTGTTAAAAAATCATAATAATTGCTCAGAATAAACGGTTTTGAATGCTAATGAACGAGAATGAATACAATGGACCGGAGGCTGCTGCTCTGTGTACAATGAAAGAAAATTGTTATTCTGAAAGGAAAATTGTGACACATTCTCAGCCAGCCAACCAACAACAGCAGGTAGCTGGCTGTGCTACCACTGAGGAGCGTTATTAAGTGGAAAGTCGCAGCTTTTCTTACGATTAGAAGGACCCAATGGATTTACAATGCGGTGATGAGAGACAAGAAGAAGGAGAAAAGAACGAGAAGCAAGTATATTATGCACACACAGACACGTACAGTGTTCGACCGTTTAATTTAATGGAGCAAAAATAAAGATCATAATAATTATCCAAAAGCAGAGTGTCAGATTGTGAGAGAATGCTACGATGTTGTCTCGAACGAATCTCGTAAGGTCCTCTTATCTCTCGACATCTTTGTCGATAATCGAATCCTTGGAATATATGTAACAACCTCAGGAGCTTCATTTTACGATGACCAGTGCTGACCTACCATATTTAATCGATACTTATAATATTATATTATGCATATTATACTGTTTACCGTGCATCCGGTTTAACATGCATTCACAAGTCAATCGGGAACTACAGCTAAATATCAAGCACCAGCATATATTATTCTTTGGGAACCGAGTTTATGTTTCATATCGTATTGAATGTTTCATTTAATATCGGATATGATCAGACTTAAATGCTCATACTTTAATACGTAAATACATGGAATTGTTGAAATTAAAAACGAATATTCTGAACACAAGATACATTTGTGGGATTTACACATGCTTGTATTGGCAGTGGCTCAACGAAGCATCTGTACATGTACGGTAAACAGCTACGCAAGAGCTAGAATGATCCCACATGTTCAACATGATTCTATCTGCAATCTTGAAATTAGACTTGTTAGTAGAACAAAAAGAGCTTATTTTGTCTACAGTGGGCAAAACTGAATGAAAATTCTTTCCTTGTGGATGGGAATCAGACCGTAAAAGCCGTTACTTCGTGCCATAAGATTCACTTGTACCATAGAATCTGCAAACTAGAGTTGGTTCTTCCAAGTCTGGCGTAGGATTAGAAGTCTTCACTCGTAATATTATGGTTCTGATACACTAATGGTTCAACTAATTGTTAATTTACTTTAGCTTCTGGTAAAGCCACTCTTTTCGCTACTCTAGAAAATAGAAGAGCACAATCATGTCTTGAGAAATATTATTAAGAATAAAATCACGTGCCACCACTTCCTTTGTGTACGTTTAGTAGCGTTGAAACGAATTTTGAGTTTAACTCAAATATTTATTTATTTATTAAACATTAATAAAATTATGCTTTTGTTAAGTAACTTGAAATTGTTTGTGGATCCCGTTAAATTCTTTCAGTATCTTCTGGTCAAAGATTTGCAATTTCTTCATTATCTTGGAATGCTCATGACCCCAACCAAAGGTTAACACGTTGAGTGTGTCAGAATTGTTCAAAATGATGTGTAGTGTAGTGCAACCACCAACATCGCACGTTTTTATAAGTAAATTGCATATGGATGTTAGTATGGCATTGCGACTCTAATTCATGATTTAATTAAATAAGCAGGGAGACAAATGGAGGCGTTGCCAAACCCTGACTTTGTT